TAGGTAGTAGTAGTAAGGTAGTAGCAGTGGCAGTAGTAGTAGTAGCAGCAACAACAGCAGCAGCAGCAGCAGCAGCAGTAGTACTAGTAGCAGTAGTCGTAGTAGTAGTAGTAGTAGTAGTAATAGCAATAGTAACAGCAATAAAAGGAACTGTTCTACTCTGGTAATTTCCTTACCAATGAAAGCACAGATCCAGTCCAAACTAGCCATTTGAGGACAGGGCTCAGGTCTTATGCCTCTGTATTGTCACCACCTACCCCACAGTCCTACATGTAATTGATGATTAACAAATGTATGTTGTTTGTTGCTGTTAATGACAATGATGCTGCTATGCACCCTTTCTTTTATACCAACAAACCATTCCAGAAATATCGTTGTCAGAAGATGTGGCAGTCCTTGATAATACACTCCAACATCCTGTTAGACGTCCATGTCAAGAAATTCTTCCTGAGGACTTAGGATCAGCTCTCAGGTCCCTTCCTACTAATGCTACTGAACAACTTACCCACTTCCTCCAGTAACCCAAATTGTAACTCACCCACACTTTTCATGCTGTGCAACTTTTGTCCATGTCCCCCTACATTCCATCAGTCAACAAGCTTTGTTAAGTGCTTGCTTTGTGTGAGGTCTACATGAAGCAGCATGGGGTAGCAGATAGACAGCCAACCTTGGAGCTAGGAAGACAGGAGTCCACGGCTCCTTTCTCTTTTTTTTTAATTGGCAATTTTTATTTATTTTTTTGTTTTCAACATTTACTTCCACAAGATTTTGAGTTCCAAATTTCCACCCCATCTCGCCCCTCCCCCCACCCCAAGATGGCATGCGTTCTGAATACCCCTTCCCCTAGTCTGCCTTCCCTTCTATCTCTCCCCCCCCTTCTCTTATCCCCTTCCCCTTCAATTTTCCTGTAGGGCAGGATGGATTTCTGTACCCCATTTCCTGTAGTTCTTATTTCCCAGTTGCATGTGAAAACATTTTTTTTAAACATGTGTTTTTAAAACTTTGGGTTCCAAATTTTCTCCCTTCCTGCCTTCCCACCCACCCTCATTGATAAGGCAAGCAACTAAATATAGGTTATATATGTGCAGTTATGCAAAACACTTCCATAGTAGACATGCTGTGAAAAACTAACACTATTTTCCTTAATCCTATCCCGCCCACACATTTATTCTATTCTTTTTTTTGACCCTGTCCCTCCTCAGAAGTATTTGCTTCTGATTACCCCCTTTCCCAATCTGTCCTCCTCTCTATCATTCCCCTACTCTCTTGTCCCCTTCCCCCCTATTTTCCTGTAGGGTGAGACAGATTTCCACACCCAATTGAGTGTGTATGTTATTACCTCCTTAAGTCAAATCCTATGAGAATAAGATTCACTCATTCCCTCTCACCTTCCCTCGTTTCCCCTCCACTGTAAGAGCCTTTTCTTTTGTTTTTGTTTTGTTTTTTTTGTGGGATAATTTACCTTGTTCTACCTCTCCCTTTCTCCTTCTCCTAGTATATTCCTCTCTCACTCTTTAATTTTGTTATCCAGATATGACCCCTTCATTTTCACCTCTCTCTGTGCCCTCTATCTATCTACATTTATATATACATACATATAATTTTTTTCTCCTCCAACTACCCTAATACTGACAAAAGTCTCTCATGAGTTACAAATATCATCTTTCCATGCAGGAATGTAAACAGTTCAACCTTAATAAGTCTCTTATGATTTTCTCTTTCCTATTTACCTCTTCATGTTCCACTCGAGTCTTGTATTTGAAATCAAATTTTCTATTCAACACTGGTCTTTTCATCAAGAATGCTTGAAAGTCCTCTATTTCAATGAATGACCATTTTTTCCCCTGCAGGATTATACTCAGTTTTGCTGTGTGGGTAATTCTTGGTTGTAATCCTATCTCCTTGGCTCTCCAGAATATTATATTCCATGCCCTTCGGTCCCTTAATGTAGAAACAGCTAAATTTTGTGTTATCCTGATTGTGTTTCCACAGTACTTGAACTGTTTCTTTCTGGCTGCTTGTAATATTTTCTCCTTGACCTGAGAACCTGGAATTTGGCTACAATATTCCTAGGAGTTTTCCTTTGGGGATCTCTTTCAGGAGGAGATCTGTGGATTCTTTCCATTTCTATTTTGCCCTCTGGTTCTAAAATATCAGGGCAGTTTTCCTTGATCATTTCTTGAAAGATGATGTCTAGGCTCTTTTTTTTTTGATCATGGCTTTCAGATAGTCCAATAATTTTTAAATTCTCTCTCCTGGATCTATTTTCCAGGTCAGTTGTTTTTTCAATGAGATATTTCACATTGTTTTCTAATTTTTCATTCTTTTGGATTTGTTTTACAGTGTCTTGATTTCTCATAAAGTCACTAGCTTCCAATTGCTCTATTCTAATTTTTAAGGAAGTATTTTCTTTAGTAATCTTTTGGACTTCCTTTTCCATTTGGCCAATTTTGCTTTTTAGGGCATTATTCTCCTCATTGGCTTTTTGGACCTCTTTTGCCATTTGGGTTAGGCTATTTTTTAAGGTGTCATTTTCTTCAGTATTTTTTTGGGTCTCCTTTAGCAAGCTGTTGACTTGTTTTTCATGATTTTCTTGCATCACTCTCATTTCTCTTCCCAGTTTTTCCTCTACTTCTCTTACTTGCTTCTCAAAATCCCTTTTGAGCTCTTTCAAGGCCTGGGACTGATTCATATTTTTCTTGGAGGCTTGGATGTAGGAGCTTTGGCTTTGTTGTCTTCTTCTGGTTGTATGTTTTGATCTTCTTTGTCACCAAAGTAAGATAATATAGTCTGACTCTTTTTGTGCTGCTTACTCATGATCCTGGCCAATTACTTGAGTTTTAAACTCTTTGTTTAGGTAAAAGTCTGCTTCCAATGTGAAGAGTGTATTGTCCCAAGCTTCAGGGGTTTGTACATCTGTTTTCAGAGGTACTTCTAGGGACCTGTAAATTTTCAGTTCTTCCAAGGTGCTATGATAAGGGGTGAGGTGTTTCATCTCCACCACCACAACAACCTCCACCAGGACAGTGCTCCTCCTCGCCCCAGGACCACCCCTCAGAACTATGACCCAGATCCACGCACCAGTAAAGCAAGAGATTCCTGCCTCAGCCCTGGCAAAGAGATCCCTGCAATCCCCCTTTGATCAGCCACTGGATTCCCCCTCAGTCTGTGGGCCCGAAGCTCAGGAGGCAGCCACTGCCCCAAAGGCCATGCTCAGGACTTGTGGCTGAGACCTAGCTCCTCTCTCACCGCAGTCACAAAATTTTCCCACTGACCTTCCCCGTTGTCTTTGGCGTTCAGTGGTTGAGAAGTCTGGAAACCGCCACAGCTGCCCGTGAGTCAGTCCTCTGAGGCCTGCTCCAGGGTCACTGCGGCCTGCGTTCCCACGCCGCACTGCACTCCTCTCCCAGCCCAGCATGATATACCTTTCTGATCAACCATCCAGGCTGTCTTTGGCTGGAAATTTGTTTCACTCTGTCATTTTGTGGGTTCTGCTGCTTTAGAATTTGTTTAGAGCCATTTTTTTAGGTATTTGGAGGGCTTTGGGAGAGAGCTCAAGACAGTCACTGCTTTCCCTCCACCATCTTGGCTCCCCCAAGGCTCCTTTCTGAAACATTTTGCTTGTGTGACTTTGAACAGTTCACTCAACCTTTCCTGCTATAGGCAGCTCTCAAAGACTTTATTGCAGAGAAGGTGGGGACATGTATTGGTAGGAGTTCCTTGTACCAATGGAACATCAGGCCCAGTCCCCATCCCTATGTACCAGGTGCAGTGTTGGACACTGGGGATGAGAGGGAAGTCTCTGCCCTCAGGAAGCTTCTATTATATAGAAGATACTGTATGCAGCTGCAGCACATAGAACATACAAGTCACCCCCCCCCCCACACACACACACCCCCATTCAGTAATTTCCAATGTCTCCTTATCACCTCCAAGATCCAATTCAAAATGCTCTGTCGGCATTCCAAGACCCTCATAACCAGGCCCTTCCTACCTTTCCAGTCTTCTCATTCTCCCACACGGACTCTTCATTCCAGGGACTTGGGCCTCCTGGCTACTCCATGAAGGAGACCCTCCATCCCCTGACTCCAGGCATTCTCTCTGGTTGTCCCCCACGCCTGGAATATACTCCTTCCTTTGATCATATTATGGACTTTTCTGGCTTCCTTTAAGTCCCAACTAAAACTCCCGCCTTCTATGGGAAGCCTTCCCCAACCCCTCTTAACTCTGAGGTAGACTGAAGTTAAATGACTTGCCTCTCAGAGGCCTCAGTTTTCTCCTCAGTAAAATGAGGAGAAAGACTAGAAGTCCTCAAAGGTCTGTCTGGCTTTAAACCAACGTTCTCACAAATTCTAATCCTTTGGAGAATGTGATGTTTCATATCTTGAAACTTTCTAACATCCTTAGAAGAATATTGGCCTCAAGGGTCTATCAGAACTACAAATACCAGCCAGGCCTGGTGGCACACATCTATAATCTCAGCTTGATTGCTTCACCTTGGAGGGTCTGGGCTGCAGTGGGCCATGCCAACAGGGTCTCTGCACTAAGTTTGGCATCAAACAGAGAACCCCTAGGAGCAGGGGACCACCAGGTGGTCTAAGGAAGATGGAACCAGCCCAGGTCAGAAACTCTATAGTGGATTCATGACCCTACACTTGCAGCCTGGGCAGGATAGGAAGACCCAATCATTTAAAAAATATATATCATGAAATATGATTGTGTACTAAGTGGGGTTGTGTACTAAGGCTTGAGACACTTCTAAGTTTTAATAGTTTAAACCCTCACTAAGACTTTTGGGATACCCTGCGAATAAAAATGCTTTGTCAGATTTAAAAAACTACATAAATTTGAGCTGTTATTATTGCTGTTGTTAGTAAGAATTGAAAGCATACCATTTCTATGTCCTTTCACTACACAGGCCTATCAGAATTTTGTGAAAAAGAATGGGAAAGAGAAGTTACTTCCTGGACTTCAGCTCAACCACAAACAACTGTTCTTCTTGAACTTTGCTCAGGTATTGTGTGTAAATTCTTGATGGACATAGAGGGAGATCTTTGGAATTGTGATTTCTCAATGACTCAGCCAGGCTTCATCCGATGTGACAGTATCTAACTTGGCCACCCTTCCAAGCATGAAGCCACTGTTCCCATGGGGTTAAGGCTGGATAGTGATGTGTCCTCTGTTCCCCTATGAGTTCCTTGATGACAATTGCTTCAGGAACCCTGGGAAGGTTTCTTGCCTAGCTGTCTACCTGACAACCTACCCACTTAAAACCTAAATAAATATGCCAGAATCTTGTGATCCAGAAGAATTTTCTGATGGAATTCTGTTTTTTATGCTGTGTTCCTAGGTATGGTGTGGGACATACAGACCGGAATATGCTGTCAACTCCATCAAAACTGATGTTCACAGTCCAGGCAATTTCAGGTAGGCATTGAGTTGAATGGCCAAACCCAAAGAGTGGTCATTAGTGGTCCAGTGATGTGCAATTATCATGGCTTTTTTTATTGTTGTTCCAAGTTTAAGCTCCATTGTTCCTGTTAGGAAATCCATACCCTCCCTGTACTCAAATCAAACCATTTTCTACACAAGCTGGTCTCGACCCATGAAAAATCTCATCACATTAAGTGCAAAGTCAGTTTTGTACTCTAAGAGTCAAATATAAAACCAGTGGATTGATATTTCAAAGATAGAGAATGAAGCATCTGATCGATCCAAAGGGGTCTTCATGGCATTCTTGCCTTGACCTTCAAGATGATCTGTCCCAGAACTTAGACACACACTTTAATTCTGATAATAAAGATGCACCATTTCAAAAGAGAGGCTGGATGGAGACTCCATGGTTAGAAGCTTGTACAGAAGGGATCAAATCTGTAGCCAGACTAAGGCCCATTGGGGGAAGATGCAAAAGATACAAATTTCCTTTGAATATGAGGGAAAGAGCTTGATCAACAGAGCTGTGCCATGATAGAACAGGACACTGCAGGAGATTACTGTCTGGCTCACATCCCACTGGAGGTCCTTGAGTGGTGACTGAAAGAATGCCTGCCATCATTAGTAAGTGGGAAATTGGACCCTATGCTAAGAGTTTATGACTCTAATAGAACAAAAAACTACCGATTGTTCATTTCATCCATCTCCTGTACTTGGAATCCCATAACATTTACCACTTTTACTTGGGGATGGTGGAAAAGTCTGAACCTGGGATTTCTTATGTGTGGGAAATATCCAATGTAGAAATTCACTCCACAAATGTAGATCAACCATTCTTCTGTCACTAACATGCTGAAGAGCTACTTAAGGTTTCATTCACCTGTCCAGGGTTATGCAGCTCGTATGTGCCAGAGGCATGGCCTAACCCCAGCTCATCTTGATTCTAAGACCAGTCTTGCATCCAATATACTTCCATGCTGTTCTTATAAATCCATCAGCTCAGTCTTACTGCTCTCTCAAAGAGGTATTTTAGGCAGAGTTTAAAAAGCAATTTAAAAAAAAGAGAGCTAATAATCTTCCTTACATAGGCTAACATAAAAACTCTACTTAATACATGGATCATCTCCTCCAGCAACTCACTCCTGGAGAGAAGTTACATTATGAAGAAACCCAGGCAAAAAAAGTCTGAAACAGTTAAAGGAGTATACGTTACATGGCAGGAATCACAGGCAGTTTTGTTCAGGGAAATGAGCACATTAATAAATAGGTAAAAGTTTTCCAGGGCCTTTTCTTTTTTTTTCTCTTCCATTGTCCTGCGATGACCTAAAAGTATCTCTTTCAACATTCAGTCACTCAACCAATGCTTATTGTTTCTTTCTTGTGGACGTCAGGGTTAGTCCTCAGTGGTGACTAGCACTTTCATTGTGGTTCAGCTAATACGAATTGAAATAGCTTGACCTTGTTCACGTTATGATTTTCCAAAGGCTTTTTTTCTCCATCCAGTAAACAAAAGCGGCCTATTGAGACTTAGTGGGATAAAATATATAATAGGAATGCATCTTTGGAAAGGGATATCTCCAACAAAAGAAACAGGATCACTAAAGGCAATGTTGGAATAGTATTGTATATTTACAAAGATATACTTAAATGAGGAAACCCAGAAAGCAAATTATGGATGCAAGCATGGTGGCAAGCATTTGTGTGAAGAGTAATGGAGGGAGGGAGAAACAGAAGCTGATTGGGCACCGCAGTGTACAGCAGACTATCTGGACAGAGGGAGGGTATAGATGAGGATTTCAGGAAACCGATCACATCCATATCCAATAATATCATTAGCAGTGTGGAGGATCTTTAGTTCTCCTGGCAGATGCTGGAGCTCTTTCTGCCCAAAAGGAATGCAACTCTTTGTTTCCTGACTTTTCTGGATGAAAAAGGATAGAAGAAGCAAAAAGAGAATGTTTTACTCTGGAACCACTTCTTACGAATAAATACTAAGAATTGATTGCTTGGGGTGGAAGTGATGGGAACCTTGGGATGAAGAGTTGATTCCATTTTATAATTTTTGGCAGAGTGGATAAAAGTTAGTCACAATCCAACATGCCCCTTCATTTGGGGGAGAGTAGATTTCAAAGAAGTTGGAGAAGGGATGGGTAGGACCTCCCGTGCTAAAATTCTGAGAGATGAGAAAATCTCAAGAATTAAATTCTGACAACACAGAAGGAAATAATTGCAAAGAAGGTCAATAGAACTGTGCCATGATAGAACAGGTCAGTGCAGATGCAGCCTGTTTACCCTACTGTGCATCTCTCTCTTACCTTTTGCATCACTCACCATTATGATTTTTTTAGTTTATTTTCCCATAAAAATACAGGAGAATTATAGTGATGTCTCCCTATCATTGCCACGGAAGGAGTGATAACAGTAAACAGTTTTTTACCCCTGACAAATAGACCTTTTCTCACTAAGCACCAAAATTGCTTTTCATCTGGGCCATTTGTGATAGAAAAATTTTGGATTACACACTTCTCTGCCTTAGTAAACAGAGTATATTAGACAGATTTTAACCTTTTTTTTGAAGACTGAGAATCAGTTGCCAATGATTGTAGTATGCTATACTGATGCTACTTAAAGATTTTCAAGTCAGGTCAAGTCAACAAGCATTTATTAAGTGCCTACTGTATACCAAGCTTTATGCTAAATACTGGGGATAATGAGGGAGAAAACATGCAAATAACTATGTATGGACAAGACATATACAGTTAATCTCAAATGGGAAGCACTGGGAAAGGAAAGGAGAAGAGAAGAAGAATCAGAAAAGACTGCTTGCAGGTGGAATTTAAGCTACATATTGAAAGAAATCAGGAGATAAAGGAGCTAATGAGGGGCAATAGGCAGTGAAAAGGCCTGAGTTCGAGAGAGAGAGCATCATCTGTGCAAGGAAGGCAGGTATCACTGGTTTGGATGGTATGTGGAGCAAATAAGGTTTAAGGAGATTGGGAAGTGGAAGGGTAGGAAGGGGCCAGGCTGGGAAGGTCTTTAAAAGCCAAGCAGAGCATGGTGTATTTGATCCGGGAGGCAATAGGGAACCTGTTGAGGAAAGAGCAGATGTTTGCCCCTGTACTATATGACCTGAGACTCCTATGTTTAGTTTCAGTTCTTAATGTTCATTTTATAAATTTTCTGCCTTATTCCTTGATGTGAGGATATCAGCTACCTTTTCTCCCTGCACCAGACTCTTGCCTCCTCCTAATTTCCTGGTTCTGATTCACCACAGTCTAGGAAAACAGAGAACACAGCCTGTTAGAATCTTGTGTAAAGTAAGGGAAAGTAGGCGCTGAGTACAGAGAACAAGGCTCTTCTTTAAGTAAAATTCATGAACTTTAGGACATGGACTTTATGCCTTCTCTGGTGACAACTCAGAGCCCTTTGTGTTATTCCCTTGTTTCCTGTTCTTGGATGAGTTCCAAATGGTTGAAGATGCCAGATAAGTGACCTCTGAACAAATGAAGTGTTACTGTATATACACACATTTTGTATTTAAAAAACCTTTTTAAACTCTGAAGGCATCATTTTATTATTTAGTTGGAAAGCTATTTCCCTTGGGCCTGACCCTGCATGTCCTTCTCTGTGAATATTTCCCATTCACTTCAGAAATGGGTTGTATTTTTTTTAAAGAGTAAATGGAATGCCAAACTTTTGCCAAGGAAATCATTATTTTCTCTAGAGGTAAAAGGATTTCCTTGGCAAAAGGTTGAAGTTCCATTTAGTTCTGGAAATGGGTTGCTTCCTGGTTCTACCCGCTTTAAAAAATACCGTGTTTTGAAGACCCAGAAAAAAGTTGTAGACACTGAGTCGCTGTTCCGAACAAATACACTGGTGATTGATGTGAAAATATTTCTCAAACACATGGAAGATTTTTATAAATCTATGCTATAATCATCACTATTTTCAAAAATAAAAGAAAAGTGTGTTTGGCATCAGACTAGAAATATTGCTAAATCATTTTGCCAGACCCAGCCTATGACTAATTAATTTATCATAGGGTCCTAGGTTTACCCCCTGAAAGAGACCATCCAATGCTTCATTTTATAGAGAAGGAAACTGAGACCAAGGACTTGAAGTAACCTATGCCAAGGTCACATGGGTAGGACATAGGAGAGCTGGGCTTCATTAATTTAACTCCTATAATTATAGCTTTTTAAGGTCTACAAAGTACTTTACATCCTGGGTGAGTTCTGGGAAGATGGCGGAACAGGTCAGGAATTTCCAGGCTCTCCAGACAAACAGACAGAACATTGCCATGAAATGAATGTAGAGCAGCAAAAATAAAGGGATAAAGTAGTTGTCCTTCTAAGACAACTTGAGAGGACCTCAGGAAAGCCTACATCCTTACTTGATTTGATTCTTGAAACAAACGTCAAAGGTAGGTCCTATTATTTTCCACGTGGAATAGACTCTCTGAGACTTAGAGGTGAAGGGACTTGCCCACGTCATGTTTATCGCTAGTATTGGAGGCAGGATTCAAACCCAGGTCTTCTGACACCCAAATCAATGTCCTATGCATGGCCTCTAAAGAGACCTACATCCCAACATTCCCAACAGTATGAAGTAGAAGAGCTGGTGGTTCTGAAACTCTGACTTCACAGTGATTCTAACAGTCTATGATGGGGTTCAAACCCACCGAGTCAAATGCCTATTGGATCCTAAATCCCCCACCTGAACTGCTTGGCCATTCTTTTTTCTCAGGAAAAGAAGATTCTAGAAAATCCAAAATATTAAATATACTCCCTGGATTTACCAAGGGATGACCCCACACTTCAATTACTGGCTTCTTTCCAGAAATGAATGTTTGTTGACCATCTGAAATCAGTTTAAATAGTTGCTGTCTATTGTGCTAGTATTTACCATAATCTGGAATAATTATTTGAAGTTTATTATTGTCAATTCGTATGAAATATCGACCATTGCTTTTCTCCTAACAAGTCTAAGTGGATATAACTGATATTGATGCTGGGGGGGGAAAAAAACCAAAATCTTATTTTTTTCCTTCAGGATATCTCTACCCCTTCAGTGGCTAAATCATTTTCTAGTAATTTACTAAATCAGGACTTTTAGGGAATAAAACCGTCTTTCTATTTAAATTTTTGTTTCTAGCTCTCTAGGTCAGATACTTATTAAAGCACTGACTTCTCACCGTAATATGACTCAGGTGACGTTGTCAGGTGGTGTGGGGTTTCTGTGCTTTGCTTTATGAGACAATTTGCTTGCTCAGGGAAATCCTTTCCTGAAGAATTTTTAACTTGTGCTTCCCGTGAGCTACTGATTTTACTACTACTACTACTAATGATGATAATAACAACAATAATATTTTTTAAAATATACCTGGTAATCATATAGCACTCTAAGGTTTGCAGAGAGCACTTCCAATTTGTTATCTCATTTGGTCAGTATAACAGCCCTGTGAGGTAGACGTTATCATTTTACAGATGAGGGAACTGAGGCAGAGAGCTTTAAGTGATTTGCTCAGGGTCACATAGCTAGCAAGGCTCTGAGCCACTATTGGACCTCAAGGTTCAGCACTACCCACTGTGCCACCTAGCTAATTCTATTAGCACGAGACTTTATTTTACTTATAAATAACATTTGGGGCTTTGGTTAGTCTCATAGATGCCATGATAATTGCTACTGATATTTAATTAGGCCCTTTTGGGCTTCCTTTGAGACTTTTCAATACCACAGATTTTTCAGTCTTCCACCAACATCATCCCCTGATGCCTCCCCATGATATGGGGGTGTCCCAAGGTTTGGAGAGCTGTATTTCAAGGGAGCACAAGTTCAGCCTGGCCCTATCAGGCTGAAAAGGTTCAAATACAGGCTCAGTCTATCATGTAGGTCTCTTCCTGGCTGAGGTCAGAGAAGCTCATGGTCAAAACAAGGTTGGTCCTATCAGGAGATGAGTTGTTTTTTGTTTTTGTTTTTGTTTTGTTTTGTTTTTTCAGCCACAACACTTCATGAAAACTTTCTACCAAGAAAGAGAGGAAGGGTGGTACTCTTTGCTAGTGAACAGCATACCTGTAACTATGGAATCAGAGATCCCTGCACCATTGGGGCATTGAAGTATATTCTATATGTAGGATGTTGTTTGCTTGCATACTTGAATCTAGAAAGGGTGTGGGAAACTTGCAGCCTCAAGGCCACATGTGACCCTCTAGGTCCTCAAGTATGGCCCTTTGACTAAATCTAAACTTCACAGAACAAATCCCCTTGTTCAAAGGACTTGTTCTGTAAAACCTGGACTCAGTCAAAAGGCCACACCCGAGGACCTAGAAGGCCACATATGGCCTCAAGACCACAGGTTCCCCACCCCTGGTCTAGAAGGCTCTTGCATGGATAGATCAATCAGCCCAGCCAAGGCAATGTGTTTTTTTTTTTATTTTAAAGAAGATGCCATCGCAGACTTGTCGATACCCAAGCTACTGGGTTTGGACACACCACTGACAGTGACTTTTGTTTTGTTTTGAAGGATCATCGGAACTTTGCAGAACTCCCCAGAGTTTTCAGAAGTCTTTCAGTGCCGCAAAAATGATTATATGAATCCAGAAAAGAAGTGCCGGGTGTGGTAATTCTAGAGAGGACAGACTGACTTCCCTGGACAGCAGAAATCTGGAACTTTCTATGGGAGAAAAAAAAAACTGTGTACCAAACTCACTGTAATCACAAGAGGCTGATTAACTGGGGGGCGGGGGGAGAAAAGAGAAATGCATTAAGATTTTAATTTCAGGTTAAAGAAAGTAACAGTGTAGCCAAAATTGGATGTGAGCTGCTCAATGGAGGACCCAGGTTAATATCTACTAAACCTACCCCAACTGTGTATGCACGTAAAGCTTTACTCTGGAATAGTGGTTTCCAGTTAATGTTGGTTTCCCATTTGGTAAACAGAATGAATATTCTCACTTGGGAACAGGGTTAATCGCCTATGAGTGCAGATGATTATTTTTAATCAAAGGGAGGGAGAAAATGTCAAAGAATATGGTAGGATAACAGCTGTCTAATGAGAACACAATAGTTAGAAACCAGAGAAATAGGCCCTGCCACCTCTTTAAATGTGGAGTATTGGGTTTTTCTTCCTGATTCATCAATGGCCTCACTCAAACCCCTTCAAAGAATTCTTAGAAGAGTGGGGATTTGGGGCTTGAAGTACTTTTGAAAAGAAGTCATTATTCCTATAATCATTATTTTTTATTCCAAGGCAACTAATTTTTCATAATCATATTCAATTAAGAAAGGAAAATATAGAATAGGTCTCTGTCTTTGATCCTCCACTGACAGATATTGAAAAGCCCCAAGCTCTCTTGTAATTTTCTAAATAATTTCTTGTTCTCTCTAGACCTGATCTTTTTAAAAGATTTGTAGTAATGTATAAATCATAATTTTTATATTTAATTATTAACTGTGTGTATGAAAAAGTAACTGCTATATCTATATATATCTATATAGAGAGATGGACGTGATCACTGATCCACTCTTGGGGATTGGCATTTCAGGTTGAGATATGAAACATTCTTTACATTAAGGAAACATCTGCCAACCAATGTCTGTAAAGTACTGTACAGATTAAAATTTGAGACATTTTTTAAAAAATGATAATTCATATTTGCAAAAAAGCTTTAAGCCAGTACTTTTGTGTAAGATCCACTTTCAGATAAATTTCCCAGAGGCCTGACTGACATCTGTATTGTAGAAGCAATCAGAAATTTCCAAAAATCAATAGTTGATTCCCATGATTTGTACTGCAATGGGTAAAGCTGCTTCTCTGTGGTTCTGTGTAGGAATGGAACTCCCCTGGGTCATGAAGGGGCACAGCCTCACTGGGGCAAGTCTAGGCCTCAGCAGGACGCCCACTTAGCAATGGCAAGGTAACAAGGATACGCTGTTACTAGTCTAAAGATTCCCTACTATTAATTCCGTCACATCAGTGGGCACTGATGTTGATGAGGGCGTTAATGGAAGGGGAGAGAGGACAGGTCCAAAGGCCTTCAGAGTGCTCCTGTCCACTGTCATTGGTTGATTGAATGATCATTCTGCATTATAGCATCATAGAATCTTAGCTTGAGGGCTAAAAGGGGCCTCAGAGGTCACCAAATTCAAATCTGTCATTTTCCAGAAGAGAAAACTGAAGGCCCGGAAAAGTACAATGGCCTGTCCAGCCTAGTGATTGCTAGACTTAGACTTGGAACTTAGGACCCCTGACTCCAAATCCAGCAGGCCAGTCAGAAATGATATGATAACTAATGAAGACCATTGCAGGCTACTAAGCTAATGGTGATTATTAGCTCAGGCAGCCAGTGATATAAGTAGAAATTCCAGAGGGAGCAGTCTCCCCCTCCCACATTTTTCCATGATCTCTAACTATTTCTGGGATTCTACGATAAAGAAATAATGTCCTGCATACGACCTTGATTCCATGTTATGTTTATTTTATCTTTCAATGTCACCTGATGAAAATGTTTTTTATAATAAACAAATTGTGAGACTGATTCTCACCAAGCTTCTAGTGTTAACACTGTTTTTTTTTTTTTAATCGGGGTATTTGAGGAGGTTGGGTGGGAAATATTTGAAGGTCTTAAATCGTGCATTTTTTCTGACATTAGCTCTGAGGTTTCCAACTGGGATGAAACTCTAGAATGGGAAGAATCAAACATTCGACAGAAGTGAAGTCAACTCTCAGTTATCTGGTTTGTAAATAATTCAAGGTATCCCTCTTCTTTTCCTTGCCCTTCATTCGGATCAAGAAAAGAGTTGACATTAAAATTTTGCATCTTTGTATGTGTGGACAGATGGACAGATAGACAGTCTAGAACTTTAATTTTACCACTGAAAGGAAACCACAAGTTGTAGAAATTCTGCACCAATGAACACTTGGGGGGAATTTATAACATAAAGTTTTAGAGAATTTCTAAGGGCTTAAGTGATTCGTCTATGGTCACAGCTACCCTGTGCCAAGGAGACTAAAGCCTGCCCTCTATAGCCATACAGCTTAAATAAGAATTTGGATTAATCATGTATTGTTCCTGTCCCTTATATCTACTGCTCATTGAAAGTAAGAGTAAGTCATACTTTGGCTTAAAATTCGGCTACGTGGAGCAATGTCTTTGGCTATTGGCTGTCTATAGCCAGGAGCAAGAGCCTCTAGGGGTACTGAATTCTTCCGGTGGCAGAACAGTTTCTGGGGAAGGAAACGGGGTGGGGGGGTAGAAAAGAAATGCTGAATCTCACCTGGCAAAACAAGGATCTTCTAGCACATCAAAATTCAGTTACTTCTTGCTCTTCCCACTGCTCCAACCTAGTTCATGTGGCAAAAACACGGGAAAGAAAGGGAAGGAAAGGGAATGAAAAGAATGAGAATGGAAGGAAAGAGAGAAGGATATGGAGCCCCATCCTCCATACTGGCTCTTAAGACCATCTTTAAGCTGTTGCATGATTAGAAAGGACAAGCTTGGCCCCAAAGAAGAACCATGAGAAGACAGCTCCCCCCAGTCCTTGGAAGAGGTGGAGCATCCACAGCTATAGAATATTGCAGAGATAGCCAGATTTTTTTTTCAATGTATTGATCAGTTTGTTAATTCTCTTCCTTTTTTTCTCTAAAAAAAATTTTTGGTTATAATGGATGGCTCTCTGGGAAGGAAAGGGGGATGGGTACTGGAGGAAATTTGAGTGACATAAAAATAAAAGATATCAATAGAAACATAATTTTAAAAATGAAAGTCATCAAAGGCTAGAGGAGCTTCCTTTCCACATCTGAGGATCCTTCCAGTTCCAAAAGTTTATGATTGTGTGAAAAAATGGCTCTCTATTCCAGGGGTGGAGGTAAAGCAGGTATTTCTGAGCATTTCCATATCCCAAGGCCTGGGCTCCTTTCTTACAAATCCATAGCCTATTGGTATTAACAAACGTCAATTAGAGCTGGAAGGAATCTTAAAGTACATTTAGTCCAACTGAGGTCCAACTTGGTAAACGAACTTGCCCAAAGTCCCCAGGTAATGAATAACAGGAAGGACTTAAACACAGGTCTTCTGTGTCCAAATTCAGTGTCTGTTCCACTATTCTGCGTGCCTGTTAGAGCCAAGGGTCTGGTAAAGTAAGAGGGAGTGTAGTATCAGTAGCTCTAGTTGAGGGGTGCCAGTCGACAACTGTCTATCGGTAAGATTAGTGATAAGATTAGGTACTGGGGACCTTTTCTATTGCTATCATGAGCATATTTTGAGCAAGAAAGACAGGATGGAATGTTATCCAAGTACTCTCTGCATTATTATCTAACACCCCTGTGAGACTAACACTAACACTCCAAAGCCCACTATAATTCTCAACAACTTCAGATGGAGAAGTTTCAAAATGTGTCAGCTTTGGGGGGAGATGAGGCTTTAGGCCTAATGTTCAGACAAGTTCATCAATCTCCCATATCAACAACAAAACCATTTCTCAAGTACTCCCAAGTGGTCCTTTGTACCTACTTACTCAATGTTTTTCCATTTCTCCCTCTTGAAATGGCCCCATCCTGGAAAAATGCAAGAGAGAAAAGACCCCCTCCCCAAATATCTCATCCCTCTCCCAATGTCTGCAAAGTCAAGTTTCTTAATAAATGTGTTCTGTTGCCTTTGGGAAGGGGGAAAGCTCTTCTAAGTTGGAGCCCAAACTTCTCCTTGAAACAAAAGACTTCTTTATAGCACCCGTATTCTATCAGGGATAAATTTTCCAGCTCTGTCACAAAACACTAGAATGTTCCAAGATCTGAAAGTGAAAATCGCTCAGAAGACAATAGACATGCATATGTAGTGGGAGTGCATAAGCTGTAAGACATTACAGATAAGGAATTATGATTTGATTTAAGGCTGTCATCCCAAGAATGCTTGACCAAAGATAGGTTATTGATGTGAAGAGAATAAGGAGTAGTCAATGGAGAAGGAGCCTGCTTCACTAGGATCCTCTGGATATCATGGGAAAGTAAGGACAGCCCTCTGTGCCTCAGGTGAATTTCTAACAGAACATTTATGAGCAGACATTGAGAAAAGTAACACAGGATGGGCAGGCATGGATGGGCCAAAATCTGCATGGTTGGAGAGAATACTCACAACAATGAGATCACAGATCAAATGAAAACATTTTTGGTATTTTTACAGAAAATTTCCATTTTCTCCACTCCATAATGCAAAAGAAGTATCTAATCCCATTGCTCTTAGGAAGTCACAGAAATGACACACACGAGAAGCTACAAGCGGTAACAGAAGACTTGAGGAGACAGAGACCCTTTGAGAACCGTCTTTGACGACGTCATGCTCAGTAGACGGCATCTGACTGGTCCATCTTACCATACATGTGCTGATGTTTTCTTTAAACTTATGATCTGAGTTCATTGCACCACAGATTTAGAGCCAAGAGGAATGTTAGAGATTTTCTAGTGCAACCCTCCTCATTGGATAGGAAAAAATGGAGCGCCAGTGATCCCAAGTGACATTTGAAGGAAGCATAAGTGATAAATAGGCAAAGTAGGGTTTGAATCCAGGTCTTCTCCATCTGACTCCAGTCCTCTTTTCACTGTATCAGCCTGGGTTTAAAAAAAAAGTTAACTCTAGAGTTAGTATGGGGGAGGGGTTGGGGAAAACCTACCGTCATTGTTTTAGGTGGTATAGCTGAAATGTTGTCCTTCCAAATTATTGTTTTACAAAACAAATCCACTGGGTTTTGTAATGGAAGCCTGGAAGAAAACGACCACGGAATCATTCCACAAATAATGGTGGGTTACCTACCAATGCAGTGAAGAAAGAATAGGAAGCCTAGTAATTATGATTTACTTATTTTTATGTTTCTGAATTTCCTCTTTACTGAGAAACTTAACGATAGTTTTGTCCTGTTGCTTATCAGACATCATTAACTTCATGCAGCCCTGGTGTGTAAAGTGGCTGGTCTTGGAGTCAGAAAGACCCGGGTATGAGTTTTGCCTCTGACGGGCACGTACAAGCTAGATGACCGTAGGCAAGTCATTTAACTCATTATTAATCTCCCCTGACTGGCAACTCTCATTCTAAGAGCAAAAAGTACACATAAGTTAATTATGTACATCAATGGGGGTAGTGTCTAAATCATAGTTCTCTACACCAATGAAATCAGAGTGCTCCATCTTTATTTGGACCATGTGATTTCACTGATATAGGAAACTCCCAATGAGGTAAGAAAGTTCACCCTCCTAACACGGCTTGACACAATCTCTGAAATTTAGAATCTTAGAAAATTTCTGGGGAGGAATGAGAGATTATGACTCATAAAACCAGTATGTAGGAAAGGCCAGATATAAACCCAGGTCCTCCTGACAGAGGCTAGCTCTTTATCTGATACTTCTACCTTGGCTATGCATGTATGGTCCCTCTGTCTCTCTCTGTAAATGTGAGTGTGTGTTTGTGTACGTTATTTTGACTACACCTATAACTTCATCAGCATAGGGAGTTTCCAGTGAGGAACTTCCTTTAACCATTCCAATTGTAACCTCTCTCTCTCTCTGTCTCTCTCTTCTTCTCTCTTTGTCTCTGTCCTTCTCTTTCTTTATCTCTCTGTCTCTGTCTATTCCCTCTATTTTTCTCTCTCCGCATTCCCTCCTCCAATCCCCTTTACACAGAGATATATAAATATATACACATATATGTATTTATATATAAATACATATGTAACTTAGTATAGATAATGTGTGCTTATATATCATGTTTATATTATATGACTATATATAATATAAAACTTAGTATATATTTATGTATCATGTGTATATACATGACTATATATAATACATAACAGTAGATATAATGTATGCTTATATATAGTGTATATTGTATACATGACCATATAATGCATAATTTAGTATATATAATGTATGCTTATGTATCATGTGCATATTATATACATGATTATATATAATATTTAACTCAGTATAGATAATGTATGTTTATATATCATGTGTACATTATACATGATTATATATAATATATAACCTGGTATATATGGTGTATGCTTATATATCATGCACATATTATATACCTGAGTGTATATACATATATACATGTGTACATGTACATATAACATTTATTCAGTGTGTACATGTATGTACGTGAGACTGTCTGAGGCCTCTGAACTTAGCACCTGGGGCTCCCTACTTTGAGAATGAAGACCATTTATTTTGGCCTCAGGGGCCAGGCTGTGGATGCCACGTATTTTCATTTGGTTCAGAGCTCGACAGCATTTCTAAAGATACCATCGCTTTCCCTTGGCCTCTATACATTCTGCTTAACCCCTTTCTGGGGAGCCTGACCAGAATCTATTTCAGTCTATTCTATTAGAGATCACAGAACAGCATCAGTATGACTAGGGTCTGGGCTGGGAAGTAGTCCTCACCCTCTCATCCCTCCACCCCTCCCGGAAGCAGGAAAGGCTCTGTCTGCATGCTCCTCCAGACCAGCCACAGGTATCTGAGAAGCCCGGGGCTGAAGTTCAGGATCTGGCCGCTGTCTGTGGAAGGAGAAGCCAGACAGCAGTCCGCATGGGAATGTGACCTTGACCTCGGAGCACCTGGGTCTCACCAGCTGAACTAACTGGAGCTTCACGTGGAGGGGGTAAGAGAGTTCTGGGGCTGCTCGGTGCACTGAAGAGTTGTCTTTCCTGTTGATTTCCTGCTCTGGGCGCTGGTGCTGGATGTGTTTCTGAAAAGCACTCAGGCCCACTCCCAGAGGACTTGGAGCCTCTTTAAACGTCTGAGGCATATTTCCTTGCATTTTAATTTTCGTTTGACCATCCTGGGGAACTCATCCATAGTAAATGTTGTTCCAACAATGTAAAAATACCGTCTGCCGGTTCCAGCACCGATCTCATCACATCTCAATGGAACACGTTTATATGGATCCGAAACAACTTCATTACCTGCTAATGGCTGGCAATTTCTGAAACACACATCGTTAGCAGCGCCTGTGCTACAGACAACAATGTGTATACACTTTCTTGAGTTATTGCATACTCAATGGAAACATTCACTTCTTGGCCATTTCTTTTTTTAAAAGGAACTGCAGAATTTTAAATGATCAACAACCAAGAAATCCCATTCAACCAGCTTCGATGAAGCCAGTAGTATGCATTGTGCTGGGTTTAGGGATACAGCCACAAAAACAATATAGTCCCTGCCCTCAGGGAGCTTACACTCTATTTAAGAAATAAAGGGGGAGGGGGCAGCTAGATGGTGCAGTGGATAGAGTTCTGGCCTTGAAGTCAGGAGGACCTGAGTTCAAATTCGGCCTCAGACCAAACACTTGAAGCTTACTAGCTGTGTGACCCTGGACAAGTCACTTAACCCCAATTGCCTCACCAAAAAAAGAAAAAGAAAAAAAGGGGGAAAGCAACATAAACACCTTTAGGCATTGAATTGGTTTGTCCACAGCATCCATTTGTTTATTACTACCATAGGAAAGAACAGACAGAGAAGAGAAGAATTGAAGGCATGAGCATGGCTAACTGGAACACTTCCTTAAAATCAAGACTCTGGGAAGAAACACAAAGCAGAGAAAGGGGCCTCTGAGGTTACTCATACTTATGAACTTTTTTTTTAAACCCAGGCTGATACAGTGAAAAGAGGACTGGAGTCAGATGGAGAGGACCTGGATTCAAATCCTACTTTGCCTATTTATCACTTATAAGTATGAAGTTATGAAGGATCTTCCAGGGGGAGAAGACGGTAGAGCAGAGGGGTTTTCCAGAATGCAAATACTGCTGGGGCATGATGATGTAAGAAAGGATTAAGGAGTTCGGCTTCCACAACAGAACAAGGGGATTCTGAGGACTTCCAAGGTCTTGTGGATAGCCCCTCAACCAATCAGAAAGTGCCCCAAACATTCCCCAAATGACTAGTTCCTTAAGAAAGAGCCCTGGAGGCTAAATCAGTTGCAACCCGTAGGGGTGAAGGATGGGCCCTTGACAGGGCAAAGGCTTTTCTCCACTGCGCTTGCATACTAAGCTTATTAAATATTAACTGACACACCCCGAGGGTGGAGATAGCCACCATTTTTTAATATGGGACCCATGAAGTGAACAGAGTTAACAGAACATGGAAGAACATTCGATGGGCTGTCCAGGAAAAGTGTAACTCTGATGAACTAGACCAATCGTAGCCCTGGTGGGTGGAGTATGGATCTTACTGTTTACAAGTTGATTTGTACCACTGAACCAGAGCCCACATGCTACTACAGTGTGTTGTGCCCGCTGCTCTCGAGAGAAATGTAATAAAGGCTTTCCTTCACTCACTCCTGTAGTAGATTTTTGTTTCAGATTTTTCTAACAAT